GAGCAAAATTTGTATTCTTGATTCTGTGCAGAAAATAGTGTTGGCTTGGCCGATGATAATAATAATCTGAATTTGATTTCAGAAGCCAATTTTCAATCAAAATGTGTGAAGTCAAACAGACGTTTCAAGATTCAGTGCTTTTGTTTGCTGTATATTTCCTCTAGTGTTATTTCTTGTTGTTGAGTACGGATAATTTGAATTAATTGTTTTCAAAAAGATTCTATCCCATAACTGATCAAGAAAAAAACCTGCAAGTAATTGAGTTGTTGAAGTTTTTGGGGGGCTATATGGCCATATTCTAGAAGCATTCTCTTGTGATGTTACGCCTGCATCTATGGCAGGCATCCTCAAAGGTTGTGAGGTCAGGAGAGAATGCTTCTAGAACATGCCTATATAGCCCGAAAACCCTACAACAATCCAGTGATGCTGGCCATGAAAGCCTTCGACAATACACTGCAAGTAATTTTTAAAACCCTACTCTATCCCTGTCAATAGACTGATATATGACGCCTTTATAACAAAATAAAATTCAACCTGTCCTTGGTTGTGTGTGTTCTCTCCTGCAGGTGGAGAACCAACTGTCCCACCTGCCTATTTCCTTGAACGAAGGGAAGCTCCGTCTCTACCAGAATGGGGATTCAGTTTGTATTGAGACTGAATTCTCCCTGAAAGTCTCCTATGACTGGGGTAACTTTTTGCAGATCAAAATCCACAAGAGATTTTCAGATCGTGTGTGCGGCCTTTGTGGGAACTACAACAATGACCCCAGAGATGATTTCACCACCCCCAGTGGAACTTTGGCCTCCAGTCCCGTGGAATTTGGGAGCAGCTGGAAGGTGGAGGACGAGGACAGATTCTGCTGGGATGACTGTCCACCAGAGGGTTGCAAAAGCTGCTCCTTCGCACTGGCCAAAAAATATAAAGCGGAACCCTTCTGTGGCTGGATCACCAAAGGAGGGAATGGCCCATTCAGCCAATGCCATTCTGAGATCAGCCCTGAAATCTTTCTGGAAAACTGTGTCTATGATGTATGTTTGAGTGACGGGCTGAAGGAAGTGCTTTGTGAATCCCTGAAGAATTATGCAGAAACTTGCCAGAAAGAAGGAATTGCTGTTTCTGACTGGAGAACACCCACTGGATGCTGTGAGTATCCCAGGAAGATGCTGGGTAGCAGGATTCAGAACAAATAGAAATGCTAGGAATAGAGATTGCCCATGAGAGGTATACCCATATGGACTGGATTAAAGCAACAACTGTTCATCTTTATAGCTTTATTTGCATTCAATATTTTTTGTTTTTAACTTGTCTTCTTCCGTCCTCAGCCTTATTAGTTTGCCCGGCAAGCAGCCAATACAAAGCCTGTGGACCTGTGTGTCCTTGATGCAGTACTTCCTAATTCTTATGTAGGCTGCTGGAAGGTTTTGTGGTGTCGTAAATTAGTTAAATTAGCCTCTCCACATAAAGCAGTACCTAAATTTCCTACTTGACAGATACAACTGTTGTTTGGGCTGCATAGGTCAACAGAAATCTAGACTATTAATGGTTGGGAGCTCACTCCAAGCTGGGCTAGCTTCAAACTCATGACCTCTTGGTCAGTATTGATCTAATGCAACTGGCTACTAACTAGCTGAGCCACAGCGCAGCTGGGATTTCTGGGAGTTGTAATCCAAAACACCCGAGGACCCACAGGTTGAGAACCACTGCTTTATGGACTGGGTTAAAGCAAAAGCTGTTCATCTTTGTAGCTTTGTCACCATTAGATCTTTTATGTTTTTAACTTGTGTCTTCTTCCTTCCACA